CAGCTTTGTTCCTGTGTTCAGTCAAAAATTGCTTTGGTTATTCAGGATCTTTCATGCTTCCATATAAGTTTTAGAATCAGTTTTTCCTATTTCTATGGGGAATACCACTGGAATTTTGACAGGGATTAGGGTAACACGTGTTGGGGACAATGTGGAGAAAAGACAATCCTTGCATACAATAAAATTTAAGGAATACGGGAATATATATTCCTATAGTCACAATGGCATACTATTGAGCCTTAATACAGAATTGTGAGGAATATAGGAATATATGTTTCTGTATTCACAATGGAATATTATTCAGCCTTAAAATAGAAAAAATTTGTTGTATTTGCGATGACATGGATGAAACTGGACGACATGATGCTACGTGAAATAAGCACAGCACCAAAAGACAAATACTGCATGATGTCATTCATGTGTGGATCCTTAAAAAGTTGAACTCTGCTTAGGAACTGATTCATTTAAAAAAAAAAAAAAGAAAGAAAGAAAGAAAAAGAAAAAGGAAAAAAGAAAAAATGTTAAACTCACAGAAGCAGAGAGAATGGTGGTTACCCAGGGCTGGGTGTGGGGGAAGAATTAGGCAGATGTTGGAGAAATTCTGGGTAGAATTAGGCAGATGTTAGCCTTAAACTCCTGGATTCAAGCAATACTCCGGCCTTGGCCTCCCAAAGTGCTGGGATGACAGCCATGAACCACTGTTTCTAACCACGAATAGACTTTTCAACAAATGGTGCTGAGGCAGCTGGATATTCATGTACAAATAAATTAATTTGGGTCCCTTCCTTAGACCATACACAAAAATTAACTGAAAACAGATCACAGACCTAAATGTAAAACTAAAACAATAAAACTCTTAGAAGAAAACGTAAGAGTAAATACTTGTGATCTTGTGTAAGGCACTGATGTCTTAGATACAACATCAAAAGCACAGTTGAAGACCAGTCAGGGCTGCCTAATGAGACCTGGAAAAGGAGGAAAGGGAAAAAGCAAGAAAATGAAAAATTGAACATCAGCTGAATTTAAAACTTTGGCACATCAAAAGATACAATCGAGAAAGGGGAAGATAGCCCGCGGAATGGGAGAAAATATTTATAAATCGTATGTCTGATAACTCAGATATCCAGAAGAACTCTTACAACTCAATATTAAAAGACAATCCAATTAAAAATGGGGAAAGAACATGAAGAAACATTTTTCCAAAGATAATATTTTAATGTCCAATAAGCACATTAAAAAGTGTTCAACATCGTTAATCACTAGGAAAATGCAAATTAATCCATAATGAGATGTCTCTTTCCACCCACTAGAATAACTACAACCAAGCAGACGCGTAACACCAAGTGCTGGAGAGGATGTGGAGGACAGAACCCTCATACACTGCCAGTGGGAATGTAAAATGGTACAGCCACTTTTTTGGAAGATAGTCTGACAGTTTCTCAACATGTTAAAAATAAAATTGCCTTCTCTAGCAGAACTGCAAGGAGCTCAAGATAAAAATCACAATAAAATAAAATAAAGTCAAATTGCCTTAAAGTCAGCAACTTTACTTCTAGGTATCACACCAGGAACAATGAAAATGTTGTTCACACAAAGACTTGTAGGTGAATGTTCATAACAACACCACTCTCAAGAACCAAAAAGTGGAGACAAGCCAAATGACCATCAACTGATGAAGGAATTCAAATGTGGGGAATACAAAGGAATACTATGCAGCAATCAAAAATTGAGTTCCGAGGCCTGCTACCACAGTGATCAACCTCAACAACGCAATGCTTTGTGAAAGAAGCCAGATGCAGAAGAACACACATCGCATGATTTTGTTTATGTGATAGGTCCAGAACAGCCTAATATAGAGATAGAAAGCAGCTTACTGTTTGACTAGGGCTGGGAATGAGACTGAAAAGTGACTCTGATGGGCACAAGTTTCTTTCTGGGATAATGAAATGCTCCTAAACTAGATTTTGGTGATTGTTACATAATTCTGTAAATATACTAAAAATCCTTGAATTGGACCAAGCACAGTGGCTCACACCTGTAATCCCAACACTTTGGGAGGCCACGGCAAGAAGATCACTTGAGCCCAGGAGTTCAAGAACAGCCTGGGAAACATAGAGACTCCATCTCTACAAATAATTTAAACACTTAAACAAGTGTGGTGGCACAAGCCTGTAGTCGCAGGTACTCAGGAAGCTGAGGCAGGAGGATGACCTGATCCCAAGAGGCTGAGGAGGCCGTGAGCGATGATGGCACCACTGGACTCCAGCCTTGGTACCAGAGTGATAACCCTCTCTCTCTCTCTCTCTCACACACACACACACACACATCATTGTACACTTAAAATGGGTAAATTTTAGTATGTAAATTACACCTCTATAAAACTGTTAATTTTTAAATTTTTCTTAATTTTTTTTCTCTTTTGAGACAGAGTTTTGCTGTTTTTGCCTAGGCTGGAGTGCAGTGACCCAATCTCAGCTCACCACAACATCCGTCTCCCAGGTTGAAGCAATTCTCCTGCCTCAGCCTCCCAAGCTCCCACCATGATACCTGGTTAATTTTTTGTATTTTTAGTACAGATGGGGTTTCACCATGTTATCCAGGCTGGTCTGAAAGCCATGACCCCAGGTGATCCACCCGTCTCGGCCTCCTGAAGTGCTGGGATTATGGGCATGAGCCAGGCAGTTTTTTAAGTTTTAAAATTACACTATTTACCCCTAGCACAAGATTGTAGTCTCAAAATAGTCACAAAATACCATTGCCCAATGAAAGAAAACAAGCCTTCCTGGAGAAAGTGCTGATTCCGGGTCTAGGCCAGAAATGTGTAAGGAGCCTGGAACGTATTGTCATTCTGCATAGCAAAGAACACATCAAAGATCATTAGGATGATTTCAACATGTCTGAAGGGCCAATCCGAAGGGACTCCTTCTAACCAACGATAAGACATTTTGTGCATTAATCAGGATAATAGTTGCAGTGAATTGAGATATATCAGATATGTTTGAATTTCTGCATTCATAATGATCCTTTTGAAAAAATAAAAGTGGGCTGGCACAGTTCCTCATGCCTGTAATTTCAACACTCTTGGAGGCTGAGTTAGGAGGATCACTTCATCCAGGAGTTCAAGACCAGCCTGTGCAACACAGGGGGACTTTGTCTCTACAAAACATTTTTTAAATGACTCATGTATGAGGGCCCATGTCTTTGGTCCCAGCTAGTCAGGAAGCTGAGATGGGAGGGTCACCTGAGCTTAGAAGATTGAGGCTGTAGTGTCATGACTGCTTCTCTGCATACCAGCCTGGGCAACAGAGCTCAACCCTCCCTGCCTACATAAATTAATTAATAGAAGTGGTCACCATTGAAGGATATAAATGAAACAGCCCATCATTTTGAAAAATGATAAACAGAAGAAATCAAGCCATGAACTGGCATTTTCTGTATAAATTGTACAAGTGAGTAACACAGTTTATAAGAAGCAGCATCTCGTTTTTATATTTACATTATTCTTCATGCAAGGCCCTTCGTAGGGTAGCAGTATCTCTTTCTGGAAGTCTGACGGCTCATAAATGGAGAAGGAGTGATACAACAATGCATTCATTGTTCAATCCATAATTGATCAGTGGCCATTAACATCACTAATGAAAAAAGAAAAGATGTCCAGAGAGCACACACCTCCTCCCAGAAGAAACTACCAGTCTTTTTCTCCTGACCCTCAGTCCAACCTGAATCTGACCAAGTCTTGAGATCAAACTACTAATTTATAAAAACTAGAACAAAGTGAAGACCAAGTTAACCAATATCACAAGATACAATTAGCAAACTTCACAGTATGGGAAACAGCATAATGAGAATACACTTAGCATAATCCAAACTATGGGGAAACGGCCTGATTTATTCAATAAATGAACTGCAAGGGACAACACAGAGATCAAAGTGGGAAGCTGTCATGATCAAAAAAAACCTAAGAGGTGAATCAAGCAATCCCAAAGAGAGACTTTATTTGGATCCTGATTCAAACCATAAATACATGAAATGACTGGAAATTTGGAGCTAGCGGGAGCGTTGACAGTGATAAAGAGCAGTGGTGCGAGAAGGTTGGTTGATGATGGTATTGGGATTACATTTTTTAAAGAGTCTTGTCTCTGGGCACAGCGGGTCACACCTATAATCTCAGTAGTGTGGGAGGTCAAGGCGGGAAGATCCTTTGAATCCAGGAATTCTAGACCAGCCCGGGCAACATAGCAAGACCCTGTCTCTACTAAAATACAAATAAAAAAATTAGCTGGACATGGTGGTGTGAGTCTGTAGTTGCAGCTACTCAGGAAGCTGAGGCAGGAGAGGCCACAGTGAACCAAGATCGTGCCGCTGAACTCCAGCCTGGATCACAGAGACCTTGTCTTGAAAGAACAAACAAGAATCGTATCTTTTAGACATATACCAAGACAGTCGGGGGGGAGTTATATGATGCGTGGGATTTCCTATAAAATCACGAGAGGAAGAGGAGAAGCGTGTAGGAGTGTACATGGAACGAGATTGGCCATGAGATAACAAATATCTGAATCTGCTGCTGAGTAGGTGAAAGCTCACTACACTAGCCTCTTGTTCAAAAAGCTCTAGAATAGAAAGTTTGTCTAAAAATCCACTTCATGGATTTGTAACAAGCATTGAATAAGATCATGTGTACAGAGTGCTTTATCACCACGGCTTGCAGGTAGTCAGCACACAAACATTGTTTTTAGTTTTGTATAGTCTCTGTCCATTAATCACACCCAGAAAATGTATGTTGTTCACACCAAGAGCTCTGGCCCATGGGCCTCTGTCCACTTGGTGGTAATTTATTGGAATTTGAGGTTTAGAATGAGGAAATTCCAGCTTTCAAAGCCCCAGGCCTACTATGAAATAGCAAAGCCAGCAGTCCCACATGCCTTCGTAGCACACCTAGTAAGTAGGACCACTTTTCTCTCACCTTGTAGGTAACACTTGTTCATTCACTCACTATTTTTCATTCATTTCTTATATGCCATGTATTCGGTGCTAGGGACCCATAATACAGTGGACCCATAATTGACTGGAAGCATCACTTTCAAAGCATCATTTCAGGATGAGTATTTCATGTCAAGTGGATTCAAGGAACAGTGTGAAGGATCCATGCCTCAGTCACCATGAAGACCCTCCCAAGAGCCAGCCCCAGTGGGCACATATAAATGAGTGGAGACATGGAACTCACCCTTACAAGGCCTAGAACCTGACAGCACACACAAGACAGAAGCCCAAATAACCAGGAACAGGAAGCTGAAGGTGAGAGGTGGGCCCCAAAGGATTCTGGGAAAATGCTTTGTGTTTGTGGATTTATCACACAGAATGAAACCTTAGTTTTTATTCACAGGTTAGACACACTCTCTATATAGAATCTATGAAGGGACATTTCAGAGCCCTTCGAGGCCTGTAGTGAAACATGGAATATCTCAGGCAGCCCAGGATGAATATTGCAGTCACCAAGAGGGGCAGGGTGGCCAAGGTGGCCAGCAGCAGGGATGGGCATTGTGAGCCATTGGATGGGATTGTGGGGCATGGCATTGTGAGCCACTGGCCTGACTTTGTTGTTTCCTGGTAACGAGGTGACATAGGAGGCTTTGTGGGTGACAGGCATCAGCCAGGGCCAGCAGCCTTCAGTCGGAAGCTGGGAGTGGGGAGAGGAGGAGCTCCGACTACTGTCGCGGAAGTGTTTGTGCCCTTGGCGCTTGCTCTGTTGCTTTGTTTTTTTCTTTGTTGTTGTTGTTGTTGTTTTCTTTTTTTTGATTTTGTGTGTTGCTTAGTTTTGTTTTTTTCTTTTTTGTTGTTGTTGTCATTTTTTGTTTTTGATTTTGTGTGTTGCATTGTTTTGAAGGTCCCCTTCTAGATCCCTCATGGGAAATACACTCAGTTGCTGCCTAGGCCCCAGGGCTGGCCTCTGTTGTGCCTGCTGCAGGCAGAAGGTGGCACCTTGCTGTGAATCTGAGACTGAGTCTGTGGCAGCTGCAGCACCAGCATCCACCACTGCAGAGCCTGCCACCAACACAAAGAGGCGCAAAGGTAAAGAAGCCACGGGTGCCATTTGCTCTCTGGCACATCTCTGGCCACCACCTCCCCCACCTCCTTCCCATCCCATCACCCCAAAGACATCCTCAGCTTCCAGCTCCCTCCTGCCTATAGCCAGCTTTCCCAGGGCTGGGCATGGGGGACAAAGGCTAGTCCTGCCTCTTGTCTTTGTTGTCGAGCCTTCTTGCTTGAGGCCTTTTTGGTCTAGTCTCTCCCTTTCCTCAATGAAAATTCAAATACTCCAGTTTGGGAGCCTCCATCCCATCCTCTAGCCTGACCTATCCAGCTAGTATGGTACCTCAGTGAAGGAGGCGGTTAAAGGCCCAATCGTTTCTTTTCTCCTATTCGATAAGGAAGCTAATCATTGGGATAATTCAGACTCAAATATTTGGAGACTTCTAAAATTTAAAATAGAGTTTGCCATGGAAGAGATTACATGTTGTTCTTAATAGATGGTTTTAAGTCACCTTGACAGAAGCAGCTTGATTTCTTCCAATTGTAATTTGAAAACCGAAGGAAAACTTGAGGGACATGTTTAAAATGACCCCAAAAGGTAT